ATGGTTTTACATTTGTCATTTCGGGGCCTTTTATAGCTGACTATGCGGTATGGGTAATACTCATTGTTGAAGGCCGTACGATGACCTATAGATGTTAATTTCTGTGTCATTTGGTCTCCTCTGGAGTGTTGACTCATTGGCAATCATACCATATCTTTTTATCTTTATGCAAGATAATATGAGCAATAACTCCTTTAAAGCCCATCGACAATTTCGGTAATGTTGAATTACATGTAGATCTTAGTCTTCTGATCATGTTTGCTGCTTATAGCAACAGTTATTCTCGGTATCTGTAATAGTTCAAAGATAATAGTAAAACAAAAGATGAAGTATAATGTGTCCCTACATAATTTTGATCATTTTTCTTATTTTGAAGATCTTTTCTTTCTGTTTATTTTTTGCTAGTGAAAGTTTTGACGTAAGACGAGTAAGATGGAATCGTCGTTTTAAGGACAATAAGTACTATAAGCAATCTGTTGACAATTTCAATTATTATACTTGTTTAAAGCTTCGGTCTTGCTGGTTGTTGTTGCTGTTAATTTTCTCTATAACAGATATTGTTTTCTGAACAGATATATCATGTTAAGGAGGGGTATTTGCGAAAAATACCAGTCGAGAGAATGTTAAATTTCGCGAGCCGTAAGGCGAGGGAAATTCATTCTCAAGACTGGTATTTTTCGCAAATACCCCTCAAGAACATGCTATATCTGTTTAATTACACCGAATGTTAACGTACAAAACGCATTGATGATCGTGACATAAAACGCATTGATGATCGTGACATTACAAGCGTCCAGTCGGATAGAGTATTTTTTGGCAAATACCACGGCAGAGAGGGTTAAAAAGGCATATCCTTTTTGCATATACCCCGGCGCTGTTTAAAAATGAACGATATGCATTTGATAAAAGTTAACTGGTGAAAAATACACTGGCTATCAACCAATCAAAACCCAGGATTCTTACATAAGGTGTAATTAAAGATAAAATTGTCACTTAAATGTAATATATCAATCCCCATTAGGATTGGCAGCCGATTTCAAAGCAACGGAAAGAATGATGTGCTGGTTCTTTTGAGGGAGCCGTCCCAATCTAACTTCTTCTAAATTTTATATAAAAATGACAAGAAGTTGATACGTATCCTCAATCAAATTTACTCCTCTCTATAGATCTATTCAGTTTATCATCTAGAACTTGTCCGTTTAATTTGAATATTCTTAGCTTCTTTAAACAAACATTTGTTATCAACAAAACATGAAAAAAATATCCCAGTGCCAATAAAAAAAAAACACTTGTCATCTATCATAAATATAAAAAAAGTATAGTCAATTTCTCTTGAATTTGTTTGTTTTACTCACGAAGTCAAAATCGAAAGTCGATGAAACTAAGTAAAATTTGAATATTAGATAGTATAAATGAGGGAACGTAAAATTTGAATATTAGATAGTCTAAACGAGAGGAAAACGTATCAACTTCTTGTCATTTTTATATAAAATTTAGTAATAGTTACATATTTAATTATAAACTAAATATGAATTTGTAATAAATAGCGACTGTGTAAAAATGAACCAAAAATTAAAGCAAGCTAACAAGTTAGACTAAAAGTTTCTTTTTTCGAATTGATGAGGGGGCGGGAGGTGGCTTTATTATAATAGAAAAACGAAGGATATGAGTATCAATCCATGACACAAAATCAGTACATACACAGGAAAAAACATACAAAAAACCAAAAAAAACACACTTTTTTATTGCTGTTCTTCATCTGAAAGTCAGTGAGACCTTCAACACGGAGCCAAAAAACTCTCATGCCTTCTCTTTTCTGACAAGTTGAACAGTTCAATTGACGAAATGAATTGCAATTTGGTGAAAATTTTAAATGAAAAGCAAAAGGTGGGGGATACCCCTTATAAAAAAGGCACTGAAATACAAATAAACTCTTGTAAAAAAAATATCCGTTCTTACTTTTCTGTTATTCGTTTGCGTTCAACTTGTGATAATATCCATCAAATTAAAATAAAGTAACTAGTAAAATAACTGATAATGATGTGTACACACATTTTTTAAGATCTTATGAAGTGATGTACAATTTGTCCATCAAACAAAACAATTGAATGATTAACTTTCAATATATAAGAATATAAAATCACTCTATGTTTCAATCCTAGTCATTAGAAAATTTTGTCCTGGTATCTATGATGAATTTATTTGCACAAAGCATTTGTAAATTGGAATATATACCTATATTAATTTATTCCTTTTTATGATTGAATAAAAGACTGTTCTATTACATAATTTGTTTAGGAAAATGAATTGCTAATTTCGTTTCTTCTTTACTTAATCATTCATGAATATTAAATAAAAATGCACAAAAAATATGAAATTTAGTTCATAGAATTACTCAACATTGTAAAGAGCAACACTCCCATCCTCATTACACAAAAGTAATGTTTTGTTGTCTTTGTTATAGTGTACAAAAGTTGGCCTATTCAGACCATCGGTTTCGGAAAGTAATGTTTTACTTGATTTCCCATCATGTTGTATTACAATCAGCGAATTCGACTCTTCATCAGCAACTAATACATTTTGATGATCATCCACAGTAATGCCGCCCAGTGAGACTAAAGATTTCTCTTTATGTACCCATATTTCGTCACCTGCCATGGAGATACAATGTACAGTATGATCTCTGTTATAATAAATTCTATCCATGGTTGTTTCTAAACAAAATCTGCAGTCAGTTGTTAATGTCATAAGTACGTTTCCCGCAATATCTAATATCACAATTTCATCTGCAGTGATAATAAAAAGTTTGTTGGCCTGGTATGATATCCCATAGCAGTCTTTATCAAATTTAACTTTCCTCTCTACAATATTATTCTTTGTGTTCAAAAACTGCATGTACTTCATGTGCCCATAAGTAACAGCAATACGATCAATGTCTATGACTGTCAAATCAAACGGGGGCTCAGAGCATGGTATATATCGAATTCAAGAGAGGGACGAAAGATACCAGAGGGACAGTCAAACTCATAGATCGAAAACAAACTGACAACGCCATGGCCAAAAATAAAAAGACAAACAAACAAATAATAGTACAGATGACACAACACTATACTCCATTAGTAGTACACACTCTCCCTTATAATCAGCTATCAACAAATTACCATTTTGTAACATACTACATCCAATTAGCCAAATCTCTTCGTCTTCTTCTTGTTTCACGTTAAATATCTTTTTCAACTTGACACGGATGTTGTTAATGCTTTTCATTTCGGGTACCGGAAGTTGTATATGAGCTTGATCTACCTTTTCTTCTTGAACGGTAAACTAATGATAGTCTTCTTAACGGATATTTTTCCGAGCTGGTCCATCTCATTCATTAACGACATGATAGAAGGTTGTAACTGTAAGTATATTTTATAGTTGAACACAGGCTTGATTTCTTCTTTGGCAGTTTCCACTTCTTTGAAGACAGCTTCATTGATCTGGCGCGTTCCAAGGAAAAGTTGAATATCGGATGCAAATGATTTCAATTGCGATGTTTGTTCCTTCAGACAATTTAAAACTCGATCTGATTTTATCAAACGGTTTAAAAATTTGGTCGCATCGGATTTACAATTTCCACATTGTGCGTCTAATTCAAGAAGTAATTTTTGCTCTAAGTTGTCTATTTTTTTCATTATTCTTGCTCGCGTATCGTTGATTGTATCTTTGATAGTTTGCTTCTGACAATCAATATTTTTCAATGCTTCAGCACGATTGGTAATGATATGTTGAACATTTAGTAATGCTCTGGTTAAAGTGTCCTCTAAATCGGCCAGTGCAGTTGAATGTTTGGTATTTTCAGCAGCTTTATCTAAAGGAATGACGTCAGTGCATGCCCTATGATAAGTTGGGACGCAACCTAAACAAACTGCAACATCATGCGTTTTACAATACAGTTCAAGTCCTTGTCATGGTCTTTACAGTTTAGACTGATAGAAATATCTTTTATTTGCCGGTAGTCTTCGATGGATATAAGCCTGTGATTCCGTGATGTTTTGATAGATTTGTGAACCTTCTCACAATCTGTACATAATCCCTCCGTACAGACTACACCATTTGTCTACATTTTTATTATTGTTCGCATATCCACAGGGACCACAAAGTATCAAATCAGACACTGTGAAATATCTGTAAAAGTATATTTTTGCTATATGAATTATTACCAATATAAAAAAATGTATATCAGCGGTATGAAATCAACAGTTTTTAGTACTTGATCAGAAAATTGAAAGAATAACCTGTCTATTAAAAATATGTGTAGTAAGTTGACAACAGTTTTTTTTAGTGAGATTATTATTACACGTCCTGTTAATTATTAATGTGCAATAGTTTTGAATATTTCAATAAAGAGATGTTTGATGTATCCGCACTAGAAAAAATAAGAAGTAAGTAGTTGATTTTTTAGGAAGTTCTTGTCAAAATTGACATGTTTTAATGAACCATAAATAAGAAAGGAACCCAGTTCACGCATGCATTGGTTCATAATTTCCGATAACATTAAACTTACAAGAAACTCGTTTCATATGACTTTAATCAATACATTTCAGTTGTTTTAAGAACGCGGTCATCAAATGTGAATACTACGAATCGGTCTTGGAATGACTAAGATCGAATCCCACCCTTGTTAATTTTTCTAGATCCCTTCAAATGCGATTGACTTTGTGAGTGGGGGTGGGGTAGTTTTCAACAGTCAAACACAATTTTCATGACAAAGGATAGACACGACTGTTACCGCAGACATTGAAAAAATAAAAAACAAAAGCAACGCACTTAAAACTCAAAGAGAAACACAAACCCCTTTAAACGAAACTAGGGGGATCTCAGATGCTCTGGAAGGGTAAGCGGGTTCCTGCTCCACATGTGGCACCCGTTGTTTTAAACATTTCAATAAAGAATTATCTGGGGTATCTGAACAGAAAATCATAGGAAGTAGTATTTGATTTTTTAAAGACTACGTGTTTACCTCTTGTAATTTTTATTGAAATATCAAGTTACTGAACATTAATGGTTAAACCACAGACCATGTAGTAACAATTGATAGAATTTAATGAACCGATCATAAAATAGTAACACAGTCAACTAGCAACTCGCCCTTTTCTGACTCAAATACAACAAGTATAAATATCTTGGTTGACTTGAATAAATGCAAAAAGACCTTTCGGAAATTTGGGTTCTCAATGCTCTTCAACTTCATATTTTATTTGGTCTTAAAAACTTTTTTGATTCGAACGTCACTGCTGAGTATTTTATATAGTCGAAACGGTCGTCTAACGTATATAATTTTAATCCTGGTATCTATGCTGAGTTTATTGGAAGTAACTTATTGTTTAAATTAATCAATAAATTTCATTGTTTTTGGAACAGAGTCATCAATCATGAATATCATGGCACAGATCTTGTTATGATTGTTGTCTTGTTCAACAGTCAATTATATGAATGGAAACAGATAAAAAAAGCTATACATGGGAAGACCGTTCCTTGACTCTAAATGATTTAAATCAATGTGTGTTTAAGAGTTTTGGAAGTAAGACCGACAATCTATTTATATCTGGATTAAAATAATTGATTGCTGTTTACTTGAATATACAGGACAAAATCAAGTTAATGATTGATTGATTTTTGTTTGCTTAACGTCCAGTGACAAATATTTCATGTATGTTCGGGACGGGAACAAATTAACAACTAGTACAGTTGGAACCTATTAATTGTTGGTGATATTGGTAATCTAACTTCAATTTTTTTGGTTAAAAATGTCAATAATAAATACTTTATCTCAGCATGCACGTTATAAAAAACATTTCTGAATATTATATCAACTGTAATAATCTAATCAAATTTATTAATATTATATATATAAGTGACACCAATATTCATGACAATCAAATCAATCTTCTCTTATTCTCATGACTTTTTTTCTGAACCAGTGTATCTACCACTAAACAGAACAATATTTGATCTTTTGTCCTTAATAAAGAATAAGAATGGTTTGTCAGCCTTGAAAATAAGCCTTCGGACAACAGCATTCGTCATCATGACGACTCCTGTTGCTGCAGCTGCTTCCGTTCCCTCCTCGTTAACTTCCACAAAAGCCTTGTGTATGACTTTAGAAATGTAAACATTCTTTGTTTTATCCATTCCAGAAAAATCTGCCTTTGCTTGGTTAAAGGCATCTGGCATTCCCAATTTGGACAAAATTGTTGACAGTTCAAATTGGGTTTCCAACTTAAATTTTGGTATAAAAACTTGAACATCTGAATTATTTCTGAGAGTACTCTGAAGTTCATTGAACAAATCAGGATTCATGGCTTCTTCAATGGCAGCCAAGCCATCAGTACTGTCTGGCAGGATGAATAGCATACTAAGGCTGTCTCCTTTATATGGCAATTCTAACACACTGCAGAGGTGATGTGGATTGTATGTGAAATAAAATTTCTTCTTCTGATACATCATATCAACTTCCACTTCTTCTGAGAGGTTTATGTGGAAGCGATCTTTATGAGTTTGCTTCTCATCAAATTGGCTAGCCCAATTACCCTTGAAATATATTGCATTTACAAGAACCATAAAAACATCTGGTGTAAGAATTCCAGAACGGATCAAGTCCTTAATCTTGTCATTTGTTCTCTGACTGACCCAGCCATTGATAATTTTCCTAGAAACCTCACCCTGAGAAAAATCCAATGGAAGGATGTCAGCTTGGTAGTGTTTTATACAACTATTTATATAATCAGTCTCAACTTTGAATAAATGGTTTGGAAATAGTCTGTTAGCTGTGTAAAGAGTAAAATTTTCATTTTCCTTCAAAATGATAGACAAATAATTTTCGTATGATTGATGAACCTCATCTTTCATATCTGATATTCCCAGTGCATCTGCCATCTGTTCTGCAGTTTTCTCTCGTGCTCCAAGAAAGGTCATAGAAAGGGCAGTTGATATACTGAATGGTGAAAAGAAAACACTGTTGGAATTACCCTTTGTTAACTCTTTGTGCAACTTAAAGGTAAACTGTAAATTGGACTTGGATAATGCTGCAGATGTGTTATTATTCAAATTGCTATCAGCCATATTTGAATTTGAGGAACTTGAGGTCAAATTGAACAAATTCAGCAGCAGGAAGAGACACAGTAACACTTTCAGCACAACTAAATTGTATCTTTTTCATTTATTACTTATTCAAACCTGAAAATATAATACATGTATTGTATATTAATTATAGCAATATGCGACAGATTGACTGAATGTGTTTAGGTAAAAAAAGTGTATTTGAAATAAAGTAATTATCTTATCCCTTATATAATAAAGAAAAAAACCCTTAACCTTACAATTGATCTGCCTTCTCCATTTTTTTGCAAATCTATATCAGCCATGTTTAATTGATATGATTAATCCTTCTTTATACTATACAATAAAACGAAAGAAAAGATGGTGCTGAGCTAGCAAAATATTAAATCAAATAATTTCCTTTCCAACTAATTAATCTACACAGATTGGATTCCAAAAAATAAAACAGGAAGAAAAAACACAAAATATTAAAAACAAAAAAAACAAAACAAAAAAAAAACACGAAGGAACAAATTAAAAGTAGTGAATGATATTTCAACATGTTACCCAATAATAGAACAAGGAAGAGAAAATGTTAATGAAATCTGTTCAACATTTTTGTTCTTTTGAATGTTATCAATAACATAATCTGTTGTTAGTGGTTCTTCAGTTCACTAAGTGAAATTGTCCTTTTTACTGTTTGAATCACAAGTTATGATAGACCTACAGAGCTGAATTTACACAACGACAGCCATTTTTAGACGCCCATCTTTAAAGACGGGCGTATTATGGTATGCTGTTGTCTGTCTGTCTGTCTGTCCCCCGTCAACATGTACGACAATTACTCAAAAACGCTTTCACCAATTTTCATGAAACTTTAATCAAACTTTAATGAATTATTCATATCAATTGATATTCAATTTTTATAAATTTTTCATATTTTACGTTTCCGAAATATGGGATTTATTCATAGAAAAGATGGTGGAATTTCCAGTTTTCAGACAATGACTCAAAAACGCTTTGAACAGTTTTCATCAAATTTTGGTGACTTGTTTGTATCTATTGAAATAAGCTCCTTTTTGTTTTTTCATAAATTTCTGATATGAGATTGCAGAGTTATGGACTAACTTTTCTAAAATTGTCCGTTTATAAATTTAGAAATTATAACTAACTTTTCTAAAATTGTCCGTTTATAAATTTTGAAATTATACTAACTTTTCTAAAATTGTCCGTTTATAAATTTTGAAATTATAAAGAAACTAAGTTTTCAACTCCCTCAGGCAAAGTTGACCTTAGATGAATTTGGCTATTTGTTTTAGGTATTTTTGTCATATAGCTCTTCAACTGTTTCGGTACTTATACATCCCTCGGATTTCAAATGTTTGGCATTGAGCGTTCCTGATGAAGGTAAATCCGGAGAAGCGCTTCGGACGCATGAAATTATTAAACGTGTTGTTTTCAATTTTTTACATCACTGGGTCGATACCTCTGCTGGTGGACTATCAGTCCCCGAGGGTATCAATAGCTCAGTAGTCAGTACTTCGGTACTGACATGATTTATTACTAACTTTTCTTAAATTGTCCGTTTATAAATTTTGAAATTATAAAGAAACTAAGGTTTCAAATCCCTCAGGCAAAGTTGACCTTAGATGAATTTGGCTATTTGTTTTAGGTATTTTGTCATATAGCTCTTCAACTGTTTCGGTACTTATACATCCCTCGGATTTCAAATGTTTGGCATTGAGCGTTCCTGATAAAGGTAAATGCAAAAAAGCGCTTCGGACGCATGCAATTATTAAACGTGTTGTTTTCAATTTTTTGTATCTATTGAAATAAGTTCCTTTTTGTTTTTTCATAAATTTCTGATATGAGATTGCAGAGTTATGGAATATTATTCGCTGAAAAATCGTTGAAAACCGTTCATTTTCATTCATTTAAAGCTTAAAGACGAGCTAAAAGGTGGAAGGGCGTATCATACGCTCAAGGCGCAGCTCTTTATTGTATATTAAAATCACTTGAATCTACAACTTATAATTAAAATCTGTGGTGAATTACTTCCTTTTTTATGTCCCATCTACAACAGTAGGGGAACATTTTGTTTTCCAGTCTGTGCCTTTGTTAGTCTGTCCAACTGTTGGTCTGTCCAGAATCACGTTAACATTTTGATTAAAGGTAGTTTTTCATGATGTTGTGGTCAACTTGAAACTGAGTCAAATGATCATTATGATGTGAACTTTTTTAATCATATATCATATGTCAAATTTGGATTGATCGTTGAAGTTTTGGTTAAAGATAGCTTGCCATGAAGGTAACCTTAAATTTATCCATCCAGTTATTTTAAGTAATTGAGGTCTTTTTTGAGTGCTGTGAATTGATAATTTCAATGACCCTTTTCTCATATGTATCCTACTTATGCTTAATACTAGTCAATATCAAGGAGTAATTCTTAAGTCAATGATATACTAGAGTCATACTAAGGTTCTCTCCATACCAAAGATATAAAAAAGTCTCATACAATAAAAAGTGGATTCATTAATTTTCATGATAACAAAATTTCTTTGATTAGAGAAAGATTGTATTTTTGTGGATTTTTGATAACATGGTTTTGCCCTATTTCGTCAAACAAGCCAAAAGAAAATTTGGACAACTTTGAACATTTGAATTAATGGTTTACCTAAAATATACCCACAAAATCCACATAAAAGGTATCCCCAAATAATAATAAATCAACAGCAATGCAAGAATATCAGTGAATATCATATCTTAGAATATTATTTGCAATTGTAACTTTAAAAAATAAAATATTCTTCTCAACATTTCCAAATATTTGAGCAATAACCCTATAAAATCAATAAACTAATAGTAACATATCCATACAATTGTCGAGGAATATTTCATGTAATGAACAGCTCTTGCCACCTTGCATTTTCATAATACATGTTTTATGTATTTTAATTATACATGTTTTGCCGGTGAACCAGTACAGATAACATACTACAGAAAACGTATCATATACATATACACAGATATATTTGACAAATATGTTTATAATTTGCAGCGAGGCAGGAGTTTTTGATCCATGTTAGTGTAAACAGTATGTCATTGTGAAAATAATAAAATAAACATTACAATATGACAGTTTTATTAGGATCGGAAAACAAGTAATTTTGCTCCATGTTGAAGTACTTACAGTGACTTTGAGATGAAGCACAGCAATAAAAGTGTTTAACATGTGTGCATATATCGATTTTGTGTAATGAATTGATCCACCATATCATTCATTTCCATTATCTTATTATGAAAATAACTTAGACTTAAACTTATGATTCTCTACAGTAGAGTGAATACTGTTGCTTTCAAGTGATAATATATATAAAAGCAGAATATCTTAATTTATGCATTTACAGACAAATCAAGTTACATGTCGTGCATGCGGGGTTCATTTGAAAAGTTTTCTTCGCATGTACCCAACACGTTAGCTGCAAATTATTAACACATTACAAAAGAACTAAGCTTAAATGATCATTTCTTTCATTTCTTTCATTTACATGATGGATTGTGTTTTCGCATTTCCTATATTTTAGATGGATTCAGATGTGATTTATAATAATATGAAAACTTTAAAATGTTTATCGTATCTGCCTATTTTTCAAAATCTTCAATGGGGAATTTCAGTGCAAGAGGATCTGATGAATCTTTTATACATGTGATAAGCGTTTTTGATATAATATTCCATGGATGACTGAATTTGTATGTACTTAAAATGTATTTTCAACTTCTTTGAATGTGTTTTTTTGAAAGTGTCTACATAATATGAGTGAGGATTTCAAGTCTCAAGTCAGCACCTCTCTTGGGGAAAATCCCCTATCATTTAAGAAAGTTGGGAGGTCTCTACCGTTTCCTTGCAATTTAACATTTTTACCTTCAGCAATCCTTTGTCTGTGATGTTATAAGAACAGAGGCTTGTCCTACGACATATATATATAGCCATTTTGTGGTGTGCAAAGAATTTCAGAAAACCTTTTTAAACAGAATTTTCTGATGTTATATCTGTCATTATGACGTTATACTGTTCATACTGTTATTTTTTTTAATTTAAAGGATCCTTGAATATATTTATAATAAGTACTCAAGCAGTAGAAGTTTGTAATTATTCATTAGTAATGTAACTTTGAAAAAAAAATCCTTTTTATAGTAATAACGAGGGACATATATGCAGGGTTTACCCACATCAGTGTTTTAATCTGTAACCGGAGAGCATGATTTGACATCCAACATTAATTCCTGTGACAGCTGATATTTCCCTGACACAGTTAGACATCGCTATACCAACTGACCTAAGTGAGGTTTACTCCTCTAGCGGAGCTAATATAGCTGGCGTTTATGAATCTACTATGTAAGGAAGGGGAAGCACCACTTTACTTCGATCACCTCAAGAGTCATTATACTATAATGATGATGTCTTCATCACTTCCCCTGGCTAAATATTATTTCTTTTAATTGTGTGTTTTTTTGTTCGGCGCATATTTTGTTACCGGAGAGCATGATTTGCCATCCAAAATTGATGAACCTTAATCTACTAGGTAATGGGAAGCACCGCTTCAAATCATTCGATTCAAATGCATTTGCTAGTTGGTGTTCATATTTCATTCCTTTTGTTATTTCTTTATACTAAACCAAATCTTAGGACGATTCGAATATGTCTGAGGAATATGTTTTTTTTTTACAAATATGAAACAAGGAAGTAAATTAAACAATCAAATTACCCGAGATATAGCGAAATAATAATATCATACATTTTGTACATATATAAAAACTACTTGTCTCAAATGATCTTTGCTCTACTAGTTGTATATTCTTTGTTATCCAAGACAAATGTTGCTTAATTACCTTTAATATCCTCTTTCAGTGACACTATCTACGTCATTTCGTTGTCCAGGGCAAGTCTCGTGATACCTGGGTATACTATGTATTTGATAGTTTGATAGCGGTAAATTTCAATGGTATGCAAAAATTGAGATTGAATTGGTAACATATGCTATTTATATATACATGTAATTATAAGTGACCGCTGTGGATAGTTGACTGTTAATAAAAAGCAAACAAATGACATTCTAGTAAATTAATGAAAGTGTAACAAAGAAAAACACGAAAATAATTGAAATTTAATGAAAAAAAAATCATGTGTTGATTTTGGAACAAGGGGAGAGCAAAAAAAATTGTCCTGCCCCAAGACGTGCGGTTTGGTACATGATTTGAGTTCTTTTCATTGTTTGGACGTAGTATTTAAATTTCCATGTGTATACCATGCGTGTCCTACCTTGTTTTCGGGAAATTTATGAACTTAATTTATTATTTTACAATACTTAAAAACAACTTAAGTATGGATAGTAAAAAAGGATTTTGTCAGAGTGATTTGATTCACCCAAAACAATATTAAGGAAAGACAAGGATAGTATAGTGGTATGTGGTATACAAATGGAAAATTGAATATTCAGTGCAAATGTAACAGCCACTATGTTCCGTCAGTTACTTTGTTCCGGCGGAACTTTTCAACTAGTTATTTCGTTCCGATGGAACTTTCCAACTAGTTGTTTTATTCCGAGTGCAGTCGAAAAGTTCCGGAAAAAAGTAGCTAGTTGAAAAGTCCCGGAACAATGTAGCTAGTTGAATAGTTCTGGCGGAACAGAACAACTAGTTACATCGTTCCGAATATACCATATTTCGTCCTTTTTGTAGAAAGAGGGGGAAGAATGAGTATCAGTATATATAAGAGCAAATCATTAATTTACTAGAATACCCAACGCACTGAAAGGGGTTTCTTTGAGGACAAATATGCAAAATTTAAGTTGTATTTCATAGCTCACATAAAACGGAATAAGTTGCATTATCATGCAAATTTAGTATTCATAGTATTCTCAAGAGAGGGAACAATACCCCCTCCTCATGTGGTTCTTTGCATCAATTCTCCAAATGGAACTTTTGGGCTAGTTTGTTAGTTCCGGTTTTGACTTATTTGCCAAAGAGGAACTTTGTGGCTAGTTGATAAGTTCCTTTTGACTTTTGTAATCAGTATCTTGGTTTCCCTTTGAAAGGTTCAAATATAATATGTTGCGCTTTTACTTTGCATCAATTCTCCAAATGGAACTTTCTGTCTGGTTGATAAGTTCCGTTGGAACTTTTGGGCTAGTTTGTTAGTTCCGGTTTTGACTAATTTGGCGAAAAGGAACTTTCTAACTAGTTGATATGTTCCGTTGGAACTTTTCAACTAGTCACTTTGTTCCGGTGGAACTTTTAAACCAAAGGAAGAACAAAGTAACTAGTTAATAAGTTCCTCCGGAACTTTTCGGCTAGTTAGTTCTTTCCGCCCGCAACTTTCCAACGTCGGAACAAAAGAGCATTTACACAAACAATGAAAAATATTTATTCATATCATATACCCAAATGCCTGTGGCTTTTAAAACTACCCCGGAAAATAAAGTTGAGCATAGTTCAGTGCGGCAAATATGCATGTGGACAAGGATGTGGTTTGAAGCAAAATGTTCTTTATGGTGTGAAGAGTAATTTCATACTTAAGTGCATTGTCCGCCTAATTTGATTTATATTTGTGGGCTCAGTATAAATAGTGTGTGCACTCAATATACATATATTGTGCGCACAATTTGATATTACAAATTATTATGAATGAAATAAAGATGAGTTATATACTTGTATATATCTTTTAAAACAAAATGTTATATTGTTTTACGAATAGTGCAAACTGATATGCTTTTTCATTAATATCTATATAAAAATTGTAATAGTGTATGTACTTTATAAATATGATATTATTATTTTGAGGACTCTAAGGAAGATTAGTTTTAACTAATGGGATTATCCTCTTGAAATAAAGATTATTTATTTATTTATTATACGATGCTCCCAAATTTATACAACGTCACACGTGGTCAGATGCCGGAAGGGACGATTGTAGCTTTGAGTCAATAAGATTGCTGATCAACCATGCCCCCTTTTTCTTGGACCTACTGAAACTCCTTTTCTAATTTTTGAATTAAATAGGAAATCAAACTATTATTGCTTATAACTTACACACATGTATGTCCTGCACTTCAACATGTGTATCTTCCGTTTTCTGAGACTTCGATCTTCTGACCGATTGCCCTATCCCCACCCACCATCTTTGAAACTCTTTTGTTTCCGATCCAACTTGTTTGCACTCAGCCTTTGGAGCATGTTCTTTGAGTCGGGGAGGTATATGTCCATACACTTAATGTGTTCTGAAAATCAGCACAATATATTCAGATTAACGAGCATGTGTACGAAAAATCTTATCTTCTTGTCAGCGAAAACTTGCTCTGTCCTCTTATAGAATCAAATCAAACCAGAATATGTTATTCCTAATGTTAAAAGGTCCATTTATAGAGAATAAATCAATACAAACCACAAAAATTAAATTCAAATGTATACAATTTAGAAATATTCAAACAAACATCACATGTAATCATACATTCATACTGATTAATTATTTAACAGACAAGCCAAAGAACATATTTATTTGCACATGCACAATTACATTTAACTGCAATGGGCTCTGTAATGGCACGAGAAACAAAATAATAAACTGACAATTGTATAAGTATTTAGGAGTGACAGTGGCTTTCATAAGAGAATCATAAATGAATGAACATGAACGCTGAGCGTAGTTCCATGTCAAGTCCAAGAGGATGAAGAGTTGGAGGGGAGGAGAGCAATTTTGAGACAATACGCACTACATCTTAAATCAATATAGTATCCAATTTCACCTTCGAGTCGACGTCAATTATATACGATCATTTTTGTTTGTTTGAATTGCTGCACAAATTTGAGCATTTTATATTTGAGAGCTTGAGGTTAAATTTGTGAAAATTTTGGAAAACTGGTCATACAAACACCTGTTTATTCCATATAGAGTGAACACATTTTTTTCTCATTTAATGCTGCACATTAATTACCACATATCTAACGTGTTTTGATCTTTACTAGGGCCGAAACAAGCAACTCTGTGCTGTACTTGATCAAGATATTTGATCAAAGTTTGGTTTGATTGGGTACCACACTGCGATGGCCTGATCAGTTATAATTTCCTCGCATACATTATATAGTAGGCAGTGGTCTTGACTGATGACTAGCAACAGCCAACGTTTCTGCGGAGGAAGTCTGGGGTTCAAGTGGACTCCCGGTGATCTCGTTGATGTGTTTACAAAGGTATTTCACATTCTAAACAACTTCCCGTTACCTTTCATGCAGGGTATATGTTGTGTGCAGGGGCTGATGCTTTTCATGGTAAAAATACATCTGCGACCTGAGTTCACCACTCTTCAGAGGAGAACAATCCTGCATCTGAAGATGTGCAGTCCGACAAGTTATTTGTGTAAGCTAGGAACAGGGGTGATCCTAGTCCGAGATTACTCTGACGTCCAATGGCTGTTTTGCCAGACAAGCTGGGGCCGTGGGACATTAGAGCTCGTCCCATATCAAAAAGTGGATATTTGCCCGTCCAAAATGAATGCGCCACTTCGTTGCTTCTGGAGCCGATTGACGGCCTTAAATCTATATAAATCGGACCTCAATTTGTTCATTTTTCATTTATCTCTTCATTTATGTAAATTTCATCTACCTGCCACCCTTTATTTTCTCATATTTGGATATACCGACTTGTATCGTCTTGTTTTTGTTATTGATTCATACCCTTTGCGAATTCAAGACTTATCATGCTTATGGAAACATTTCCCTCCACTAATCAGAAATCCCCTTTGCAGTAGTTTTCAGTAATATAAAAAAAAAAAAATCAACAAAACTAAAGCAAACAGACTTATTAATTTAATCCTACCCCAAGCAAAATCAGTAAAATAGATGATGATCACCATGACCAGGCTCACGAGCTTTCTCCGATCGAATATCTTGGTGGGTGGGGTGGGGTGGGGGGGGGGGGGGGGGGGGGAAGGAATACAAATATTTAAAAGAGTGCTAAAATATAAAATAAAGGAAATTATGGATGAAAAGATTTAAAAAATAAGTATATTCAAAACCTCATACATATAACCGTTAACGTCTAAAATTGAAACATAATTGTGTGTTGACATTTCCCCCTACGTGTAGTACTCCAATTACTCAGAGTTTCATTGACTTTGATACCAATCAAAATAAACTATACATCATTCAACATAATGTGTATGTTGTTCTCAAGTTTTATTCTCGCTACTTTAAATTTATAGTTTTTCACTAGCAGGGAATTTTGAATATTGAAAGGCGTCATTAATTTCAGAGACATATATGGTATATGTCTATTAGTTCATAAAGATGTCAGTTTATATATTAAAAATTTCATTCAGATACTGTTTTAATTTATTCATTAGGAATTTCTACAGACTTCAGAATAGCATATTTCCGTTAGTACTTCGCCGGTTGTCATTTTCACCATGGGAAAAGTTTCAAAACCATGTAAGAATTTGAAGACCTTCCAAGAAATATCAGAGCGAAACACAACCAATAAAAGTGTTGTGGTGCGCTTTACATGTCAGCACGTGGCCCACGAAGTAACAAATGAATGATCATCACACAAATTATTTTAAATAAACCTTAATCGTTTCGTTCGTTTTTGTGCATTGAAAATTATGTACAGGTTTCTTCTGGTCATCGAACAAGGTCTTGTCTCCCTTCTGGTATGACTTTAAAGCTTATGTCACAGTGAGGTACAGCCATCAATATTAGAGTGAACGATGGCATGGAAAAATATCGGCAGATTACTGAGGTATTTGAATTGGCTTTCAGGAAACTTGTCAGTAGTTGTCTTATGTGATAACTTCACGTTCTTCTTATTCATTCTCACACAAGCAAAGTGAAAAGGAAAAAATGTAACTTCAGAGCTTGATATATTGTAATGACATATATATATCGTTTGAGACTGTATGTCGACCTCTAGATGACTTT